CAAACTGAATCGAACGTGAAGATGTGGTGAGCCCATTGTCGTGAAGAGCATCATTATGGATTTTGGGATATCCCAGGGGGGGAATTCCTTAACTTAAAAATAACTTAGCTAATAAAAATTCGCTTTCCCTTTCATAGTACACATTTTAAATGAAATATATTTTAAATATGCATATATTTAGGATGAAAGATAGAAGTTGCGCGCCTGGCGAGAAATGAATGTTTTTTTTATTTTCGCGGCTGTCGAGTTTCGAACTCACGACCCCTAGCGTATGAGGCAAGCGTGCTACAACTGCGCCACAGCGAATATCGTTGATGGTAGTCGCTTCGATACACCGGTATGCTATTTTTAGCCAGTGTTGAATAAAACGGCTTCAAATTCAACTTTATCCTGTTTTCATCATTGCAAAAGTGCGCCAATATTACTATATGAGTGGTAATGCATCGTTTACAGTCAAGCAATTTCAAATCATGCGAGCAGATTCAGAGAACATAGCTAACAAAAAATGGGCTGTTCCCTTTTATAGTACAGATGTTTGATCGCTGCGAATTTCGGTGCGAATAAAATTCGCAGCGAAATTCGCCCGAGCTTGAGCGGACACACCATGCGAATTTCGCTGCGATTTTACAAGCGCTGCAAACGTGCGAATAAATTCGCATGGTGTGTCCCCCGCTTTAGCGGCCCTCTTTTCACGAATTAACAGCACGCACTGAAACTCGTGGATGTTCAGCAAGGTTCATACTGGAAAATTAAACAATAGAAATATGACCGAGGGCAGTCCAACATTATATGCTGTGCATTAAGTAATACAGAGGCAAGCCAATCGCAGCCAGATCACGTTGAACGGTAGAACCAACTCGGGGAGTATGCCGGGGGACGGGAGTGTCGGTGTGGTTGCAAATCATACGCAGCAGCAATGGCGCCACCATCCTGCTGATTGTGCACTCCCTTGGCGTTCCTAACATACCCTTCGTTGTCGAACCCTGCCGCACCTCCCTGCAAACACAGTCATAGACAAAATACATACCACACATACATCATATTGTATTATATAAATATTGATATACATCGATTGAATTATATATTTATTTATTCATTTATTTATATTTTTTGAGGTATAATGTGAAAGAAGGCTTCTGAATTCTGGAAGCTTTACTCTCACTCTTGAAGCTCCATGCTTCACCTTAACACTGATAATACCGTATAATGCCCACATTTACTATATTTATTCGCAAGCTTCACGATTTATGCAATTGTTTGCTTGCATAACTCGCATGGTACATGCTCGTGTACGTGTACATGCCTGTATATATAGATATACATAGATACATAGATATATATAGTAGATATACGTGTGTGTATACGTGAACGTGTACTTGTACATGCCTGTATATGCGTAAGTGCGTGTGTACGTGCATGTACGTATGTTTATGAGTAACATGTTTTACCTGCGGAACTGCGGGAAGGTCATGGATATGGACAGAAACACGTGGATCTCTCTCTTCGTTCTCCGTATTCTGTCGGCTCGCATTCTTCTTCCTCCTCCGGATAACACAGACGACGACAAGCAGGATGGCTAGGAGAGCTAGCACTAACAGCACTATCAAAGCGATGATACCTGCCCCACCTGTATATAACAACAAACACCGCGTCAATACCGTATCATTACCGTATCGTGACCGATTAATACGTACAGTGAAATTACACACACAGTCAGTTCACGTAATGCTATAAATGACTGCTTTGACCTAAACATAAAAAAACAAGAATATTATACTATTTTTGTTATGTTCTGTTATATTCTATATTCTAGAATATTATATGTCCAACTTAACATACCCTTGCTGGCTGCAAACCCTGACGCAGTGGGACCTGTAAAAACACATCTTTTAGCGATTCAAATTGATAAAAGAACTGCAATAAAAATAATGACATACATGCTGTGCACAAAAAAATACTGTTTAAAATCGTAGATAGCTCTGAAATACCATGTTTTCCGAAAAACAATTCACAGCCAGAATGATAAATAAAAGCATAAACACAATGTAACAAGTAAATAATACATAGTTAGTGTACACCAGAAAAATACATTTTCCCTAAACATTCAAACACAAGATTCGAAATTGAAGAACGGCAGCCAGTTAAGACCAACTCACACTTTGTGGACTCCTGGTGGCACTGTTCCCTAGACACACAGGACTCACACACCCACGCGCACGTGTTATCCAGGCAGGTAAAGTCACTCGTGTGCTCACTGCAGTTAGTCAGATAACATTCCGATATGCCCTGCCACATTGGCTCCACACCGAAGTCGCCTCGGTACTGTGGCGGTTCCGGTACGCACGTTGGCCAGTCGTCCCTGCGAAATGTGGCGCGACCACAAGATCATCAGAGTAGCAATAGTAACGGTTTGTAACCCCCCCGACGCCTACTGACAGGAAGATTGCGAAAGTTAGTCCGGTGAAAGGACACGAAGTGTAAAATTCCTACTAGCTGTAGCTCGGAGAGATGATCGATATACATTGAATCGTAAGATCTCACAAAGTTCAATGATCAACTGTGTCTATCTCTTACGATTTAAGTGTGTATTGGTCTTGGCAGTGACCGTAGCTGGCAGCAGACGTGCACGGACAATCACAAGCTTCTGGACGAGTGTCCCTGCATGTTGGATACTGGTCCTAGACAGACGAGACAGCACAAGGCATTCAAACAGGCATGCAGCGCTCATTCGTTGACCGTACCATCCAGGTATATACGCCTAGCGACCACCCTACATTCTATTATTTCTCCATCTTATGAGACTAGGGTTGAAACTAGGACAGTTTATCATCATAGAATCATAGAATCAAATAAGCTCGACTAATCTACATAAGACAGCATTCTGGATCTGTGCCCCATAAAGCCGGTCCAGGCCACTATTTCACACGTGCATAGGATGAGAACGTTGCTTTACTGCTCATACTATGGCTTTAATTAATTACTAGTCATACTATGGCTTACTAGATTGCGCAGATCACACGCAGTGCAGTGTCTTCGCTTTGAGGGCATGTTGGTCGAGCCCTTCTGCTGCTTAGAACATTCCTTCTCATCAAACAGTACAGCGATGTAGATGTTAGAGTCATCGACAGGCCACAGCTGGTACTGACTGCACCTTCCTGCCTCTCCATATGCACTACTCGTCATCTCGGCCATCTAGAAACATTTCAGCTCGCGATCAACTCATTATGTCTTCATTTGGTCTTCACTCTCACATTTTGATATCTCTCACCTTATTCTATGGGTTTCTTGAGGTGATATGAGAACACGCAACAGCTTTGATTTCATGCTGTTTTATTGCACTGGTTTTAACTGGTTATACAGTAATGCCCTAATCCTAATATAGACCCGCATGGTGGCAGCAGCCCTGACGGTGTGGTATTTAGCAGTTAGGGATTGGTTCACTATATTACAATCCATCTGTTTTGAAATGAAACTTTACCTTGTGGTTGTACACACCTAAAAATTGTCCAGAATTGTAGTGGAATGAATGATTCGAAGACTTTAATAAAACCCGACTGGAGTGCTTTTGAAAATAGACACAGGCTATATATAGATAACAAATCTCATAGAACTTGTGAAATGTAAACAGAATCATACATTCCAGCTGAACTTATATGGGCATTACTTTTGCAAATTCAGCGAATATTATCTAGTTAGCATGATCGTTTCTTTCATGCCACACTACATACTGGAGAATTAGGACGGTTGAAAATCTATGTATATTCAAACGCCAACATAAAAGAACGTATTTCTGCAACCAATGAAGAATGAATATGTTTCGGCGACACAGAATAATGCTGCTATTTACAACTGATAGTCGCTTGAACCTGGATGTAGTTTTCTCGTGCGGTGATGTGGGCGGCGGGCGGAGTCTGACGCACTATTACCCTACAGTTATCGGGTAGGGTGATATCCGTATACCTGGGTCAAGCATCCGGGGCGGGTGCTTCCGGCGTACAGCTGGGTCAATTCGCCGGAATCCACGGCAGTCTGTGGAAGTACGCTGGCGTCCTCCTTCGAATTGGCGAGGAGTTTCGGGCGTTATGGCTACATCACCATTCGACAGGCAGTTACATACTCGCTTTTTTCTTCGTGATAGTGAGAGGCTCAGGGCTGAAATGAGAAATCATTTTCGCCCCTCTCGACTGTTTCCCTAAGCCAGTACAGAATCACCGGGCACCATGTTAGAACTCGCTGTGTGTCGTGCTCTCGTTCGCTAGTTCTGCGGCTGGAGTTTGTCTTCGACAGCACTATCGGCTTCTGAATTGAACGGGCATATGGCGGTCATTTGCGTCGCATCGTTGGACCATGGTGACGACAGATGGCAAATGCGCAACGTTCATTTGCCTATTGTTCGAGCCATGGACGGAGAATATTCGGGTAGATGAGTGGGGTGTGGCTGCGATATCGAGGTGGTATTGTAGCGCGAAGAAATCTGTAGAGCTGGCGATTTCGCAGCGGTATTGCCCCCAGACTCTAATGGCCTTCATGAGCGTTCTCATGAAGCGTTCGTTCATCCATTAGCCTCTTGGATGTAGTGGAGTTTTACCCTGTCCTGTGGTGGAATCCTGAGATTGCGGGCGTTTCTCGAAGTGCGCTGCCGTTGAACGAGGTCCATTATCGTGCGAATTTCACTTGGAAGCACGCATGGGTGCAAATTCGCTGTTCAATCGAGAATCCAGCATGAGCTAGATGTTACTATGTATGTACGTCGACTTCGGGATATCTCGAGTGGTCTTTCGATCAGCACCATGAGATACTCACGCGGTAAGGTAACGGTCCGCACAAAAGTCCTATACTGAGTCGCTTCCACTTGTTGAGTGGAGGTTGGCTGTCTATCAGTAGAAGGTTCGCGGATGTTTTGCTTGGTGTATTAGCTTGCTATAGGCAAACACGTTCTCCAAGCTTGCACTGTTCCAGCGGAAGGTTTGTCGATTCCTGAGAACGCAGGTGCTTCATCGCGGAGAAGTTGGCTTAGTTTTTGGCCATTCCTTGATGACCCGAATGTGGCGAGTTTTACACATTTCATGTTGTAGGCCGATTCTGAAGCAGAACGATTCTTGTGCCACGTAGCAGTATTGCATCTTCCCGAACACCGATAATTCAGTCGCTGATGTTGAATAGTGGCCGTTGGCAACTTTTATCGTCCTTCACAATGTCTAACGCAACCGACCATTCGAGAGCTCTGATCACAGCGGCACTCATGAGGCGATGCAGCTGGCCGTGGAACTCCCAGCAAATTCTGTGCGCGATATAGGCTTCGAGGAAGTGGAATTCTCCAGCACAAGTTTCACATGGAGCTGCAGAATATTCGGTCGATGGTTCAGCTGGTCTGATGGTTTGGTGGGTGCGGACATGTATCCGCCCGGATCTGGAACTTACCTGGAGAATAGGTCACCAGTGATGTTGGTAATCTGTAACTTCTGAGCCAACGTTCTACTACGGGGCGAGGTTTCGAGTTCTCCTTTCCCATGAAGATTGGTACGAGTGCCTTGTGATGCACTGCGTACTTCACATGCATACCGCAATAATAGATAGATCCTGAAGTGGTTGCATGCCCAGTAGATCAGGCAACGCCTCTACGTTCAGTCTGTGAGTAGCCGACATTTCCGCACCGGTGACATAGCTTGCGGCTAGCATACGAGATCACACGATTATCCTGAGTGAGAATAGCACCTACTCCAATCGGAACTGGCGAATCGCGCACAATGAGCTTTGTGTCTTTCCTGATCAATAATAGGCCATTACCTCCTGTCTGCATGATTAAGTCCTTCAGTTTATCGAACGGAGCAATTGTTTCAGCTTTACCCCATTATGCAGGCTTGATCTTTACGTGTCAACTATGCGAGCGGCGCCGGCGACTGTCGGCAAGATTAGGAATGAACGCGGGCGACACGTACGTTAATCATCGCATGAACGAGCGTACGCTCGTGGTCAGCTGACTTCGGCTGCGCTGACTCGTGATTGCTTGTACCTTCTTGGGATCTGCCGTCATAGCCGGATGCGCCGAATATGAAACCGAAGAATTCCCATCTCGTTTTTCCCGAACGCTGAACACTTATTCCGTATTTAATGTGAGATTGTTAGGCTTTCAGTCTATCGGCAGTAGCAGCTTTGAGAGCATCATATTGTGCTCTTCCTTCAGTCTTCGCGAACACCATCGATGTCGTCGGCTGATATTTAGCCGCCGCGCGGGAATGCCTTGCCAGTAGCGCTGAGATATTGCGTTCTGGAAAATCTACTGGCGCGCTAATACCGAAGTTTTAAAACGTTTAATACTGCCGGAGGACCGACACGTGAGTGCTGAACGTTGTTCATGATGGCGTGCATCCGGGAGTGGAGTTCCAGCTGATGGTTACCCCTGATTTGGTCGGAGCTCGAGAATATGGCCTGGAACGCGTTTACGTCAGCGATGGATTTCCTGTGATCGTTGGTGTGATATGGCGTTTCACAGGGTAGATGGCTTTGTTCACGAATCATCACTGGCTATCCACACACAACCTGATATCCTCAGAGTTCAGCCTTGGGAACACACACAACGGAGATACCAGAGTTTGGACGCAGATATGTGCTCAATGATATCGACTACCTTTCCAACCAGTTCCACTTCCTGAGCTATGCTTCTTCATCAGAGAGTATGGTAACCCTCTATGAGGCTGTGCAACAGGCATAGCGTTATGATCACGATGTAAACCTAACCAGATATTTTATCAGCTTTCGGCGCACACCACTGAACAGTTTCTCATATTTCTTAAACGAGAAGCGACTTCGAGTGAACCTTGAGGTGTCTGAGCGCTGATGTCCACCTGTCACCGAGTGTCCACGTGAGAATGCCAGAGTGCCTCGGCAGTCGCCGACTCAGCAATGCTGTTGAATGGCCGATCGACCAACGTAGATCGTCCGCTATGGCTGTTCGTGTCCCCCAGGCAACGACATTCGACTTTTGAACTTCTTCTGTATGGGCAAAGGTTGCATTGGTACATATATGGGTTACAGTTTGACATCACTCGGTTCAGAACATGGCATCTTGTCAAACCTGACAAAGTTTTTTCAGGCGTAATGATATTTCTGGGACCATCCTGATTTCTATCACCCATGGTGATCTTCTGAGCTATCACCAGTGGTGATCTCGGCTGTGGCGGGCGGACGTCGCAATCAATTTTTTTTAGCTGAGTAGATTTCGTCATCCTGAAGGCCTATGTTCTTGTATTGCGACTAACTTTCTTTGTGGGGAATTTCTTCCCGCGAAACCCCTGAAACTTGGGCTTGGGTGATGCTTTGAAATTTGATTGTTCGCTTGAGTGGCAGGCACTTTTTCGCAAATGTCCGACTTTACCACAACTGGAACAGGTTTTATCGGCGAGCGGTGACATGTTGATGAATGGGGATTTCGCCTCCGCAGAACCAGCACTTGTCTCGGCCCGACTGTGTCTTGCTTGGCGGAGTTTTGCAGCGGAAGTTCTCGGCGCGATTTCTGAGTGTGTCTGACTGTGTGGCTTTTACGTACGATGTACTTCCTACGCCGAGTATTATGCCGACTCTGGCATTGGCAAGTTCATGCCGGCTGGCTTCTTTCTAACAAACCAGCGAGCGGCAGTTTGTGCACGCGACGATTTTGTTCGCCTTATACTGAACGCTGACGCGACGTGGTACACTGACGAAGTTGAAGTCGGCCCCTCCTTATCTTGTCATGGAAGTCACAGAAGTTTGCGCTTCTGTAGTAGCCTCGTTGTGGAGACGCGTCGATGTCTGCGTCCTGGCAACTGGTTTCAATCTTCCGAAACTCTGTTCATGTTTTGTCAGTGTTTTTTACGCGGACTCCATGTAGTTGTTCAGCGCGTTTAACGGGCCTGCTTGTTACACATCATCTGCCTCTTGCCGTGGCAATCAAATGTCACGCGTTTTCAAACGTATCGTGTACATGTTCGCCTGCATAGGTAGCAGTAGGAGAGGCCTTCCATTCTATACCCTTATCATCAAACATTCATCCCTGTCAAATCAGGTTCTGCGAAACCCTCAGGCCATTCTCGACAGCGCTAGGGCGCTTGGGTTGACGGAATCTCCATACTGTTCAAACGCAAACATACGATGGGTAGAGCTTTGAGCCATGATGCAGAGTATTTTTTGCTAAAAGTTTTTTTTTTCGCTCTAAAAGTTCCGACAATAATTTGAATAAATACGAGTCAGAGTCTATGCGATACAGGTACCTCTGTCATTTACTTCTCGGCTGTCATTCCGAGTGCGGATGGGGTCTTGCATCATGTGTGCACGGAGCGTGATCCGCGAGAAAGTCAGATCTATGAGCAAGAATATCGCCCGCAGACTTTCGATAAAGCTCTCCTTTATCTTCAGCGTGATCTTCTTGAATTATTGTCGCAGAGAGACTACGGCTCTTCATAGAAGCGAAATATATAATGCCACTTTTTCTCGTCGCCATGTAATGTTGCATGTTTTTCTATGGGTTTCTTGAGTGATAGAGAACACCACCAGCTTTGATTCATGCTGTTGTTATTGCGTAGGTTTTAACTGGCGTTTATACAGGTATGGGCCCTAATCGCTACTATAGAAGCGCGCTGTGGCAGCAACAGCTGACGGTGTGGTATTTAGATGTTGGGATGGTTCACTATATTAGCAGATTTATCATCCCCTCATTCACATTTTGATATCTCTCACCTTATTCTATCCCTCACTTTGACACCCCCCCCCACCTTTTCTCTCGCTTAACAAATTATAATGTAGGAATATTATATTGTATACCTTATCTACCTATAAATAAATTATATATATATATATATATATATTATTTATTTTCTCACTCACACACTTTTACTCGATAGTTACTAACTATAATTTTTGTTGGTGGTACCTGCCAATAGTGTTGGTATTTAGTGCTCTGGAAGTTCACACAGGCTTGCTTCTTTAACAATCCCTTTTCTATGAGATCTTCAGCCACACCAAACAGATCGCTCTGAAACCAAATACGAACATGCTCAAAGGTCATACAATTCATAGCAGACGACGCGAAGAATTATTCAGAATTTATTTTATTACGCCTGCTCCTATTCAATCGATAGTTCTTACTTTATAGAACACTCGATAGGGAATGAACAATTAAGTTATACGTATGGGAAACAAATCTACAGTTTCTATTCTACCACACTACTGATATTGTAGCATGTAGCGATACTATATCAGGTACAGCTGCGGGAAATTATGTACCTTTCCAGTAATATGAACGTTTTCTGCATGAGCTCTAGCTGATTGCAAGTCGAAGTCACAACCTGGTGAGGCATGCTTGATAAAATCGTTGTGTATGACAATAAAACCACTGCTGTCCATCACAAAACACCTGTACAGGTAAACCATGCTTTAGCAATAAATGTGTACAAGCAATCACTGTTAAACGTCTGGCTAGAAGCAACAGTAGATGCCTCAAAATTATCCCCAGCAAGACTGACATCCACAAACATTCATTTTTTAGTGCAGACGATCGTGGATTGGAACCAGCTGGAGGACAATATCGTCTGTGCTAAATCAGTTGAAGCCTTTAAAACAAGCGTAAACTGTAAATAAACAGACAACCCTCTCTCGACTCCCGCCGACGCCACGTCAGAATTGGTTACTGTCGGTGTATCCTATCAAGATCAAGATCAAACTCATCTGCCCTACGTTACTCCAAACTGCTAACCTTGTATCATATTTTTTGGCGATTGCTGACTTGCCATTGCAAGCGTCATTCATGGCCAGCAGACTGTAGAAGTGAGAGAGTGTGTAGTCTGCTCCCATTACAGCACTGACAGTGGCGACACCTGTGTTGCCTCCAGACTTGGCTGGCTATAATAAACAAACAAATGTCGTCTTTACTATATATCAAGCTTAAAAGATCACGTGGGGCACTGCACATTACTGCATGATAAATCACATGCCTTCAGTCACTGTTCCTGTTCATACTTGTAACTGCAATTTACAACCTTGGAAATGCAGAATCACTCCCATATTTTACAGCCATATTACATTTAGATATTAGATATTGTATTTAGATTTTAGATATATCATTATTATTCTATTTTATTAGATATTAGATATTAGATTATTATGGAGATCTTTTCTGGACATTCTACACAAGCCTGCGATACATTGCTTCGTATCTAGTGTATGACGTTGCGAGAGGGGACGTGGATTTGACGATACCTGGACTATTGTGTGACTGAGAGTGACGACGTAACCAACGTCAGCACTGAGCGCGTCTCTGTAGGGCGCTGATATCGTCAGCTTGCCTGGATTACTCATCGCACGCAGATACCTGAGGAGAACAACACAAACTGGATTGCTCAACTACAATATATGTCATATCACAAATACAATACATACTGCCATGCTCATCTAGAATCATCGTCATATCGTGAAAACAATACAAAACAACAACTGTAACTACAATAATAATGAAACTGTCAATGCCACTGTAGCTCACCACAAAAAAAAGACACAAATGAGCGCGTGAGAAGAAGTCAGTTTTAATTGAGCAACCATCGACGTACATTATAAAAACGAAGAGTATATATATGGGAGAACTCCTATTATATAAACTTAATAATTATATGTGTAATTTTTTATGTGAAAATAATAAATAATATTATATATAATTTGTAAATAATTTATAAACCAAAATGAATCACAATTTGTTGCTGCGGTAGATGGCGCTATACCCGCTTGATGTTTCTGTTAGCATAAATCATTATATCCTATAATATATATAATAATAATAGTAGAAATCATAATTGTTTCATAGCAGGAATTTTGCATTTAAAGTTATGTCAACGAAATCTTTGTAAACGACCCGACGAGTGTGACCCACAGACGTGTTGTTATCTGCGTGGCTATATTACTATGCTATATAATTGCAACCCTACCTAATTTGCTACTTATTTTTAATATCAATAACCCCTTAGCCCTTATTCATTCACATCTAAAATGAGCCAAATCCGTTGAACCTACACTCGACTAATGCGCATTCCCATTTTTTGCCAAAATTGCCCTGGCCGCCTCGAAAGTACGTCGACTGGCGTCGCTCAAATAGACGTTTACTATGAGGAGCTAGCAGTAACAGCTATACGTCAATTTTCAAACATGTGGCGTCCAACGGTTTCCAGCAGTTATCGTTGGACCGTAGCCAAATGTTGACGCACGACGTTACGACGCGGACGACGACCCATGGCATATAGCCCGGCGCTTGACGATGTCACGGTAAAACACAATGAAGGTAAACGCTTTTGACTGAATGAATAGGCTGCGAATTTTGTAGACTTATAGTGCAGTGGGCCGCGTCTATCAAGTTTTATAGATTGTTTATGTTCTAGCCCTCTTTAGTTAATCAGCTGGGAAAATCTCGAATGCTTTATAAGTGCTTCGTGTTATATTAGCCATGTTAGATCAGGTCTGAGTGCTACTTAGAAATGTATCACGAATGCAAGATACGTATATCTCTTATAACACACCCGCATTCAGGGCCATGAGATCACGTTTTTTAAAGTTACTCAGATGACAAACGCACTAGGTTTTGCCTGTTAAACAGCAACATGCCACTACAAACGTCTAAAATCGGTGCGTGGCGACACTTTTTACCAGTCGGCCGTTGGGTTGGCGGTGTTCAGTGGGACTACTTTACCTGGGTCGTTGGGTTGGCGGTTGCTTACAGTGTGAACTTTACCAAGGTCCTTGGGTTGGGTGTTACAGTGGGACACGTTTATCAGGCGTCGTTGGGTTGGGTTGTTACCGTGTGGCAACTTTACAAGGTCCTTGGGCTTGTTCAGTGGGGACACGGTTCACCACGGTTCGTTGGGTTGTACAGTCTTTTTTTTTTTTTTTTTTCGGGACAACTTTACCATGTGCGTCGTTGGGTTGGGTTGGTACAGTGGTGACACTTTCCAGGGGTCCTTGGCGTTGGTTTGTTACAGTGGGGACACGTTTCAGGGTTGTTGGGTTGGGTTGTTACAGTGGTGACAGTGTTTACCATGGGATCGTTTGGGTTGTTACAGTGGGGACACTGTTACCAGGGTCGTTGGGTTGTTACATGGGGACACGTTACCAGGGGTAGTTGGGTTGTTCAGTGGGGACACGTTACCAGGGTCGTTGGGGTTGTTACAGTGGGGACACGTACCAGGGTCGTTGTGGGTGTTATCAGTGAGGACCGTTACCAGGGTCGTGGGGTTGTTACAGTGGCGCGACCGTTTACCAAGGTCGTTGGTTGGGTTTGTTACAGGGGGACACGGCTACAGGTCGGTTGGGTGGTTACCGTTGGCGAACACGGCTTACAGGGTCGTTGGGTTGTTACAGTGGTGACAGTTACCAGCGCGTCGTTGGGCTTGTTACAGTGGACGCCGACACGTTACCAGGTCGTTGGGTTGTGACAGTGGTGGACAGTTACCAGCGGTCGTTGGGTTGTTACAGTGGACACGTTACAGGGTCGTTGGTTGCTGACAGTGGCGGACACGTTACCAGGGTCGTAGGGTTGTTACAGTGGAACATCGTTATTCAGGGTCGTTGCGCGCGTTGTTACAGTGGCGCCGGACGCGTTTACAGGGTCGTTGGGTTGTTATTCTTCACAGCTGGGACCGTTAATCAGGGTCGTTTGGGTTGTTACAGTGTAGGACCGTTACCAGGTAGTTGGGTTGTGACAGTGGCGACACGTTACCAGCCGGTAGTTGCGGTTTGTGACGTGGGGACACGTTATCAGGGTCGTCTGGGTTGTTAACAGTGGGACGCGTGACCAGGGTCGTTGCGGTGTGTTACAGTGAGGACCGATTACCAGGCGTAGTTGGGTTGTGACAGTGGGGAACAGTTACTGGGTAGTTTGGGTTGTGACGTGGGGACACGTTTCAGGCGTCGTTTGCGGTTGCTTTACAGTGGGACACGTTACAGGGTCGTTGGGTTGCTGACAGTGCGGGACACGGTTATCAGGGTCGTGGGGTTGTTACAGTGGGGGACGCGTTCCAGGGTCCGTTGGGTTTGTTTACAGTGCGACACGTTCCAGGGTCGTTTGGGTTGTTACAGTGGGGACGCGTTACAGAGGTCGTTGGGTTAGGTTGTTAAGTGGGGACGTTACCAGCGGTCGTTGGGTTGTTACAGTGCGCGGACACGGTATTCAGGGTCGTTGGGTTGGGGTTGTTACAGTTGGGACACGGTTACCAAAGGTTCGTTGGCGTTGTTACAGTAGGACAGCAGTTACAAGGTCGTTGCGGTCGTGACAGTGGGGACGTTACCAGGGTCGTTGGTTGCTTACAGTGGCGGACACGGTACAGGGTCGCTTGAGTTTGTTACGTGGGGGACACGGTACGGGTCCGTTGGTTGCTTACAGTTGGCGGACACGTTACCAGGGTCGCTTGGGTTGTTACAGTGGGGACACGGTTACCAGGGTCGTTGGTTTGTTACAGTGAGGACACGGTCCGGGTCGTTGCGGCAGCGTTGGACAGCTTGTTGTTTGAGGTTCTGGCAGATTTCGGAACACGGCCACGCGCCGTGGCCGATGTAAGCCACCAACGGGGTGCGGTATGCAGCTTTTGCGAGCCCGCGACTCCCTCCCACAGCACCTCGCGCCGCATGGGTCGCCCACTGATTCCGAACGCCATCCTGCAAGTCTGCGACAGATGTAGAGACACACACTCACGAGCAGATCGTCGGTAGAATATAATCTGGGGGGGGGAGTAGATGTGTCTCCTGCTCAATCATCATCACTGGCTCCATGGATTGAGTTTCTTAATTAACACCTATCCTTAATCTAATATACTTATTTTATTTCTGTTGTTAGCCGAACTGGTAGTAAGAAGTCGTTTAGCGAATGAGTGTCAGATGACACTGTTAGCTCAAGACAAGCGAACACATGAGCGAAGTGAGAAAGTCTTTTATTGTGCACTGACCTGCTTGATGTTTCTTAGCATATTGGCGTTACGAATTAAATAGGTGATGCTGCGTGTCGACATGTTTTGTAAACTTTACTCTAATATAGGACGTTTATCGGCAGGGTGCGGAGAGGAACTACCAATTTTGGCAGTACAGTATTTGTCAATGAAATCTTGTAACGAACCGTACGAGTGTGGACACCACGACTGTTTGCTTATTCTTGCGTGTCTATCTAATATGCTATATAATTGCAAACCTACATAGTTTTGCAGTAATTTTTTTGAATTATCAAAACCTAGCCTTATTTCATTCACTACAACAATGAGCGCAAAATCCGTTGACCTGACTGATAATGGCCTTCTCATTCTTTGCCTCAGAAATTGCGCTGGGCTCGAAAGGTAAGTCAATGACATGCTCAAATTGCGCGTTCCATATGCGGCATAGCAGTAAAGCTATAACCCAATTTCAACATGTGGTTCAACGGCTTCCTGGCAGTTTATCGTGACCGTAGCCAAATGTTGAGGCGGAAGACGACGGACGGACGGACGACGAACGTCGACGGACGCGACCATGCAATAGCTCAGCTGGGAGTAGAGCGTCAGGTTAGCTAAAAATGCATAGCCTTTAAAGGTTTTGATGTTTTTCCACACTGTGGACAGCAGAAATGTAAGGTTGGTTTTTCGCTGCATCCTCTACACGTCGGCTAAATGTCCATAATGTTCGGTAATTGATGCACGGATTGATTGATGTATCCAAATTCTAACAACAGTTTTATCTTGGCAACCTGCAACCACACTATCCCACATATTAGTGATGTGTGTCACAGTAGTATTAGTCAAGCGTAACCGCATGCTGACGCTTTTTATAAGCACCTACATATAGTCGACTGCGGACAGCAGCTAAGTAGAGACCCATACCTGACCCACCTACAGCACACTATAATATTTTTCAAGTGTAAGTAACATTTACACCGCAAGACCTAGTACCACTACCGATTCTATATTTACATATGTTGATATTGGCATTCACACGTCTCTACTGCCTCTTTATTCAGGAAGTACGATGTACCCACTTTGGAGTTTCCTTCTATGCTTATATGGCAGGCTCAACTGCATTTAGGTCACTTGCTGTTATTGACGCGTGACCTTTGAACCGGGATTTGTTGCAACGTTGTAACGTCATTCATGTATGTGAGTACTGGCGGACGCGTGGAGTTAGACTCGTTGTTGTCAGAGGTAGTAGTATGGATCAAATGCTCGCGGCCAACTTGACAGTGACTCTATCTGTTTGAAGCAAAAACGTAATGCTAACTTAAGGGTTTTTTCATTTCTAATTTACCAATTCTTGCTCTACACATGAAATGTTTACACAGTCCATGATGCACGCAGAATCAGTTACCTCATACATGTCAACTAATTGCTTTAATAAGTACACAGTTTGAATATACTTAAAAGTATCTAAAAGTCATACTTTAGCACCTTTAATTGCAATGGTTGCCAACATAATCGACACTGACTAGTGTCACCTGACTTGAATGAGATCAAGGACGATGTAGAGGAAATTCCTGCAGACGGCAACCGTTGGTGACTCATGGATGCTTTGCATGTTGCCTCAACCAAACCAAAGCTAGAGGGAATAACGACTACACTAATCTGCTTAAAAAAACCAATGCACGTAGACTGTGTTTTTCTATAGGCCAAGCAAACTAGATCTACAGTGAGATAAACATCGCTCACTACATATCTAGAAATCTCTGCTTAGTAAGCGCTAATTAGGTTCTGCTTGGCCTATATAGATAATACGTCTTACGTGATATTGTTTTTTTAACAATTAGTGTAGTCGGTTCTTCTCTAGCTTTGGTATTGGGTTTTGGAGCAACTGCAAGCTTCATTTGATGTCACCAATGGTGCCGTCGTGCAGCGAGATTTTCTCTTACCATCGTCTTGATCTTCTTCAGGAGTCAGTGGTGGACCTGTCAGTGTTCGATATTTTGCGCACATTGCCTAATTAATGGTGTTGCTATAGTATGGACTGTTTTTAGATATCTTTAAGTATATTCTATGTGTACGTTATTAAGCATTTAGTTGACTGTATGATGTAAACTGATGTAATGCGTGCAGTCATGGGCTGTGTAAAACATTTCTATGTGCTTATTTAGCAAGAATTGGTAGATTTAGAATGATAATTACCCTTTAGTTTTCATTTCGTTTTGCTTCAACGATAGATCTACTGTTCGCAAGGTTGCGCCGAGCATTTGTGGATCCATACTACTTCTTGACAACAACTGAGGTCTATCTCACCTCGCAGTACTCACAATAGAGTGCATGCGTTACACGGTTTGCAATTCCCGGCGGTGTTCAAGCGTACGCTGTTTCAATACAGCAAGTGACCTTAATGCAGTGAGCTGACATATTAGGCATAGAGGATTCCCAAGTTGCTGTTACTCCGTACCGTCTCTGATAAGGCAGTTAGAGTTACGTGCTGATGCCATATCACATATGGTATATAGATCGGGTTAGTGAGGTTACTGCGTCTTGTCGGTGTAAATGTTAGCTTAACACTTGAAAATATTTTTATTTTTAGTGTTTGCTTGATATGTCGTTGGGCAGGGTATGGGGTCTCTACTAGCGCTTGCTGTTCTGCATGCCGACTAGATGTATGTGTTTATACAAGCCGTCGTCATGCGCGCTTTCGCTTGACTAATTACTAACTGTGACACGCACTAATTATTTTTTGGGTCTTATGAGTGTGGTTGCGCAGGGTTGCCCTAGATTAATACTGTTTGTTTATTAATTGGGCTACATCATTCTCCGTGCATCACATTTACCGCTTTATGGTACATTTACGACGTGTATGAGTTGATGCACGGGAAACCACCTTACATCGTTTTGCTGTCACGTGCCTGCTTTGAAAAACATCAAAACTTTTAATGCTATCATTTTTAGCTCTGACCTCTAATTGCGTTCAGTGGCTATTGCCTGGGGTCGTTCGTCCGTCGTAGTTCGTCTACGTCCGTCCGTCGTCCGTCTTTCCGTCAACATTTTTGGCGGACGGTCAACGATACTCAGGAAGCGGTTGACCCACATTGTTTGAAATTGGGTATGTTGTTACTGCTATGCTCCCATTATTTGAGTCATTTTGGAGCATGTCAGTTGACGTACTTTCGAGCCGGCCTTTTCTTTTGGCAAAAATGAGATTGCTATTAGTCAGTTCAGGTTCAACGGATTTGCCTCATTTTTGGTATCGGTGATGATAGGGCTAGGGTTTTGATATTTTAAACAAATTATTGCCATTTATGTAGGTTTTTCGGCAATATATAGCGATTAGCATAGACACGCAGAT